GAAGCCACAAAAAAACACCGAGGTTATAAAGTTCTCGATCGAATATGTTATGGCTCTAAGGGAAATGAAGTTTTCGCTCATGGATTCATAAGGATTATGGCTCTAAGGGAAATGAAGTTTTCGCTCATGGATTCATAAGGAAATCAAAAAGCTCCTAACCTATTAGGCTTTCTCTAGCACAAACCATATTTTATCTTCTCTAACACAAAGCCTAGGGGCTCGCTAAAAAGGAATAATGAAGGTTTATAGAGTTTTTCACCAATGCAGTGTTGGATGACACGTTCTATGGGCTTGTCCAAGCTCCTTCACGGTGATAATGATGAGGCCGACACCAATCCCCTTTTCCAAAGTGGTGAAGAAGCTCTCCTTACCTAAGAGGATTAAGAAATCTCGGATGTTCTCCTTCTCTAAAGCTTGAAAGAAGCTCTCTCGGGCTCAACTCATGGAGAGTTTCCAAAGAGGAAGAAGGAACCGATGGAAATGAGGAAAAATAGGAAGAATTAGACGAAAAAGGTGGAAGAAACAAGCTCTCTTTGCTTTTCCTTGCAAAAGATGAAGAATCTTATCTCAAGCACTCCTTGGATGCTCCCCGCTCGGATTCTCTCCAAATTTCTGATCCCTTTGTTCAATCTGCTCAAGAGAGCATATATCCCTTAGATCAAGGTTAGAAATGGCTTCTTGCCTCATTAGGAAAGGGCTAGGTTTCCTCTAGATGCCATTTTTGGGTGAAGAAATAGGCAAAAAGCTTTATCAAAGGATTGCAACTTGCTAATGGTGGAACTAGAGAGTAAAATGACCCCAAACTAGGTGAACTAGTGTGTTCACTCCCAAGATTAGGCGCGACCACACTGCCTCAAATGCGTTGCAGGCACAATTTGGGCATTGCCACGTCCAACAACCAGCGTAATTACACCGGAATCTCGATCCGGCGGGCGTGGTCATGCCTATTGTGAGGCATCATGCCTCTTTTGCGGCTCGGGCGTGGTCATGTCAGCTACTGGACGTGGTTACACTTGCTATTAGGCGTGGACACACCAAGATCTAGAATTGGTCACGTTGGGACCTTAGGCCATTTTAGTCTCCGGAAACCCATCGAAGTGGTTTTATGGCTCATTATTGTCACAAGAAGTCCTAGATGACTGGACTAGGGTTTTCATACACCAGAATGGTCATGAGATTGCCCTAAATCGGGGAGCCAATGTCAAACGATGATAGCCGCTTTCGAGCACGACCAAAATGGGACATGCCCTTAGCATGTCGTACGATGTTCTCGGTGAAGGTTCTACGAACTCCTTGAACGACGAGATATTACAAAAGAATGCAATACGATCATGTGTCACTCGATAGAACGTATGATGTGTTGCATAAAAAATGGATGCCAACAATTACAATCATCTAGAAATTTGTGATGATAGAGTTACAACATAATTAGTTTCAATTGAATTATTACTTTTAGACATAGGGTATGCTTCAAAATCATAATGTTCCTACCATTTTCTATTTCTGATTACATAATATGTTGATGTTTTCTTCTGTAATGAATAATTAATAATGAAGAATTCATGGAGATATTACTATCTTTAATATCATTATTGTTCGCTCTTAAATCAATATATGTTACAACATATGTAGATATTAGATTGATTAGTTTTCCATCTCCCTCAATTTTCACTCTCATTTTGTTTTCTTATTACTAATTTGTTTATGGTTACAATCTATAATTGAAATCTTTTTGACATAGATATCTAATGAGTAAATGATGCTTAATGGATATAAAATCTAATAGAAGTATGAAGTATAAAATTGTTGCACAACTTCAGTTAGAAGAATTAATTAAGTAGATTGTGCTCTAACAAAATAATACATTACCTAACTTAAAATTAAATTGGCACTTATTCTTCTTTTCCACTGTGCATAGAAGATTTTTGAGTTATTTGAATGTTATGCTTCTTGGAAGCATTAAAATTTTATTAAATAAAAGTTTACTTTCTTATTTCCATTATTCATTGTATAGTATAAAAATATTGATGCATGTTTCAACTAAAGATGAAAAATGATTTAAAAATAAAGACATGATACATTTCTAGTCCAAACCATATTCAAATCAATTTTAGCTAGGTTCAATTCTTCTATAAATAGTTTGAATAAGTTTTGAACGTAACTCAAACGTGATTCTAACCTGATTTGAATATGCTTTAAACTAGTCTAGCAAAGTTTGAATCTTGATTAAATAAAATTCTAAGAAGGTTTGAACAAAGATTCAAATCAAATACGAACTTGTTTTGAACCTCAAACAAATAATTTGAGCAACCTTATAACTAGGTTAAAAAAATGATTCAACAAAGGTTTTGCACGAAATCTAAATATTTTTCACTGTTAATCAAATGTTTTTTTAATTTATTTCTTCAATCTTATTATATAATTTTATGTTTGATTTTATCAAATTGAATTCAATTTTCACAAATTATTTTTTTGTAACTAATACAAATAATATTGATCATTGAATAAACAATTTAATGATATGGCATAACATTATTTAAACATTACAAATAACAACCCATAATTACTTAATGTCTAATTAAAACTCTTCCCTCAACGCATGATCATAATCTTCCTATAATTTTGTTAGAATAAATCTCATAAAAAAGAATAAATAAATTAGCAGTGTTTATAACAGTAACATAATATCATCTATGAAGTAGTCAGTAGATATATACAATTTAATGGTATTTTCATTCTAAGTGATCATTTGTGGCAGCTTATTGGGAGCGGTGGCGGTTTGAAAATGCCACAATGGCGTTTAGATAGAGCGTTCGTACAAGCGTTCTCTTACCGCTGATACACAATATTAGAGGAAATAGGTGAACTCGTATAAGCGGAGCTCCCTTCGCGTCCTGCGTTTAGTTCGTACGTTAGGGTGAAAAAGACGTCTAGTGGCCCTCTTCGGTCTCCCTGCCCTCACATCCTTCCTCGCGGCCGTTGAGAAAAAAAAATCCACTCTCTGCTCTCTCTCTCGCCCTCGCCCTCGCCCTCTTAACGAAACCATAGTTTCACGCCTGGTATGCACCATCGTTTTCATTCCTTCTCTGATTTTGCTAGATCTGGTTCTACTCTTAACTTGTGTCTCATTGCATCTTTGTTTGGATGCACCATTGATGGTTTCAGAGGTTATAACAGTTTTTATGAAATTTTGGATGGGTGTTTTTGCTAGATCTGAAATTTAGAGGCAATTTTGTTTCAATGCTTTCGACCCTTCTCTGTTTTTGCTAGATATGAAATTTGGATGCGGTTTTTGTTTCACTTGTGCTTTCGAACTCATGTTGGATGCAATTTTTGTTTCACTTTTTGCTAGATCTGAAATTTGGATGAAAGTTCGGGCATTACATATTACATTAAAATGGTTCTTATGGAATTTTGGATGGGTGTTTTTATGGAATTTCGTTAAAATGGTTTATCCCCAACAAATTTTGAGCATTACATATTTTGGGCATTACATATTTCTAAATTTTGGATGGGTGTTTTTATGGAATTTTGGATGGGTGTAGTTTTTGTTTCACTGTTTACTAAATATATTGATTCATTAAAATGATTCTAGTATTAGATAGAAAATGTTAGATGCAGTTCTTGTTTCATTAAACTGGATGTGGAGAAGAAATAATACCTGCAAGTTCATTTGCAATGCAAATATTATTCACTGATTAACAAATGATGGGGAAATTTATATGCAGTGCATTTACATACATGCATTTACATACATTCCACTCCTTAATTAGCAATGAATTCAAATACTATTCACTTCTGTGTTGATGAATTATTTCTGTTTGGGTTTTAGAGCACCGGGTTGGTATATTTTTATGGGGTTTTCAAGCTTTCTTTGATGCTGAGGGTAGAGAGGAAATACATTGCTTATATTTTAGAGCTATGAGCTGTATTAGTCTTTAGAGCTTCGGTTTGCAACACTATTATGGTAATGATAATGGTTGTCATATGGCTGTCGATATGAGCATCTTAGATAATGGAAATGCATTATGGTAATTCGGCAATTGCTTCAGTGGAATTGGATTCCACGACATGTATGAGAAGTTGCATATCAAATATAAGATGTGTATTGCTTTATTGTTACACATGTACTTTAGTTGTAGTGTTCTCTATTGAGAATCATAGCTATGTAATCTTACATAATTGCAAAATAAAACATGTTCGATGTTTATTGTGGATGCAGAACTTTGACCGAACCATGTAGGTCTTTGATCGAACCACATAATTCCTTTGTGTTTTTTTATGAGAAAATTTGGACACTGTTGTTGGTTCATTTTAACCCGGGCATTACATATTTCCCAAGTTGATAGTGCAGCTGAGGACATACGTAGACAAAGTTTGAAATTAAATATTTTAATATTTCTCATTATATTTGTACTTGTTTTTATCTTTTTTTTTTAATTTTTTCTGGTACTCACGAGAGAGCTGTATGTCATCATTTGGAACTGATCTGTGATGATTGTATGCTTCTGTACTACCAATAAACTATTTTAAATAAGCTGTCCAAAAAAGTTTTACCAAACAGAGGTAAGAATGTCATTTATACAACCATAACTACTAATTAGCTATTCTGAATAAGCTGGCCCAAACAGCAAGCTATATTATTCTGATAATCTGCAGATTATCAGATTATCAAAATAATCTACTTATCAACAGATTATAAATAATCAACAGCTGCCCCAAACATACCCTAAATAAATTTTAAGAAGTCGTTTTTCTAAATAGTTATATTTTCAAATAACATTATTATAAGCATATAATATATAATATTCTTTTGAGAATGTAAGAAATGATGAACAAAAATAAAAGTAAACAATGCATTTCAACTATGTCAGGTGAGCAAAGCACATACAACATCATATCACATTTAAAAAAATGCTAATTGTATTAATAAATAATTATGCTATTATGTACTATTGATGAGGAGAAAAAAAACATATTTTCTAGACTTCTTGACTTTGAGAATAATGACAACAAATAATTTCAAATTGTCATCTCATTTTCTTCGGCTAGCTCTTCCCTAACTTCTCACTTCTCCCGTTCCCCTCACTTGTCACTTTGCTGACTTCTTTTGCAGATCAATCCATGGCTTCCTCAGGTGGCAGCCCCGGCCCTAGCCCTAACTCTAATCCCACGGCTTCCCCCACCTTCGACGTTCAGAAGCTCTTCAAACCTCCACCATCTTCCTCCAACCCTAACCCTAATCCTATTCCGAGGGGTGCAAGCCCCTTCCTCCCACCTCCCTCTTCCTATCCCGCTCCGCTATTACCATCCACCTCGCCATCGCCATCGCCATCGCCGTCGGCGCCTCTCAGCGCCTTCTCCTACCCTCCCACAACTCCGCCGTTCCAGCATCGACCCTTCCTTCACTATCCTCAGGCTCCCTCCCCTATTCCTGTCGCTTCCCCCAACCCTAATCCTAATGCAGGCGCACGCCTAATGGCACTTCTCGGCACAGCCCAACCTGCAAACCTCGAGTCAGCCATCTCGATGCCATCGTCAACGTCGCCGTCACAGTTCTCTGCGGCGCCCGGTAACCCTCCGATTCTCCATCCGCCACCTCCTGCCATGCTGCAGCCGGATCCTGCGAGAGTTCCAAGCAGCAAATTACCGCGGGGGCGCCGCCTGGCTGCCGGGGATCGTGCGGTGTACGATGTGGACTCAAGGTTGCCAGGGGAGTCTCAGCCGCCTCAACTGGAGGTGACGCCTATTACTAAGTATATATCGGATCCAGGCCTTGTGCTTGGGCGGCAGATTGCACTTAACCGTGTGTACATCTGCTATGGGCTCAAGCTTGGAGCTATTCGCGTGCTTAATATCAACACGGCACTTCGATCTTTGCTTCGAGGGCATACTCAGGTTTGAGTTTCGAAAAAAGTTTCTGTTTTTGATTGGAAGTTGCTTATTTTTCTACTGGTACGCAAGACGCGTGGTTTAATTAGTGGGATTCTGGGTTTAAGTTTGACGCATGAAAGTGACTTTCTATGCAAAAGCACGTCTAAACTTTTAGAGTTTGGGCTTGGTTTTATATTAGTCAGCTGGAATATTCACTCTTTTATCAAGTGTGAGAGAATCTCAAGCGTAAAGCAAAAATTTGAAGCAACATCCGCTGTGGTGGTTTTGGTACACAGATGAAGATGTTTATTTTATGTTCATACTTTTAACTGGTTATTGATCTCAGTATTATTAGTTGCAGAATCAGTAGCTTTGGGAGTAACTGAAACGTTTACAACTTCATGTTGAAATAGTTTTCACTGCTTGGGCATTCTTTACTGTGATGTGAAGTTATCAGTATTGTGCCCATGGAGTATTCTTAATTCAAATATATTTAAAGTAATTTTTTGGACACTATCATTATTTATGCTTTAACATAGGGACACCATCTCTCGTCTCAGTGCAATGAAAATGTATGAACGAGTAAAAAAAATACAATTGTCTGTGAAATGTATTGTTCCTGGTTCTGCTTCATTCTCAGCTTTGTTCGTTTATTTGAGTATTGTGGAACTGAGAACTACTGTAGCCTGTTGATGGTGGTGCATCTTTCAGAATTAGTTTCCAGAATTCAAATTGGGTAAGAAGAGACAATGACAGATGAAACTAAAACAGAATTTTATCAAATTACTTCATTGTAAAAGGCAATGTATTTAAGTTAATTGGCGGCCAATTACTGAAATAAATGGGAGTAAACTCAAAAGATGATATTTGTCTGTATTTAGTGCTCCTCTTTTTGTTATTAATTTTTTTTTCCTGATTAGAATAATAGCCATGTTTGCGCTAATCTATGCTTTGGGTTATTCAGATTCTCGTGTGGTAAATTTTTGTAGATATACTGATTTAATGAAAAATTAGTTTCGTTCAATTGGTAATTGAGTCTTTGTTTTGGGTTCATGCTAGTTCACAATGAATTTTTGTCAAATTGATGCTATCATCAATTCAAAATTATCTCTTAATACTGTGCATGCCATCATATTGTAGCTCTATTAAGCACCCTTACTGAAAATAAGAAAAAAGAATGGCTGTCCCTTTGCTTTTTGTTTGTTAAAATTCAGTCCAGCGTGGCTTATTGGTTGCGTTGCTAAAATCTTCCATAGCTTACTAAAGTGTTTTGTCAGAAATTTCAAGGAACATGTAGAGCACCAAGATATATTGACAGCACCAAGATATATCGATTAATTTGGAAAGATGAAAAAAATGTGTTTCACCTCACGATAAACAAAGTTTGTTAGATTATATTTTATATTATTATTTTTTTCATCGGGTATTTGTAATGTATATTTAATTGCTTATTAGAAGCAAGATTTATCATAATGAGGATGCACATTAGAGAGAGAGAAACTTAAGCCATTTATGAATAGAGAAGTAAAGTCATTTTTTTTAACGCATGAAACTATACTGAAAGAAGTAAAGTGAAACTAATCCTCTTTTCTGTTTTTAATTTATCCCTTTTTTTAGGCAAATTATTGTCTTTTTTTTTATGGATAGACAGAAGAGGCTAGCATTCTCAATTCCAACTTCAATGAGATTCTTGCACCACTACTTTGTGTTTAATATTGCAGATCTCTAGTTGGCAATAGAGAGGCCTTTGATAATAGTTACATATCCTTTTCATGTAACAATGGATTTGCATTCGTAGAGGTTGCTTTGTGGTTTGAAGCCCTCCATTATTGTAGGCTGCCCATCTCTGTCATGTCAATTTTCTTATAGTATTTGTCTTTAGTGCACTGACCTGTGAAACCTGCTGTCTCCAGGCAATTTTGAGCTTAGGGTTCGTGACATGCTTGTATTTCTTTCTCCTTTTGTTTTTATTTTGTCCTTATAGTTTAGTATGTTTTGTTACTAATGCAGATGTTCAGGGTCTTGTAATTTTTTTTTTATGTTTAACATCGAGTTCTTGAAGTTCTTATGTTTTACCCCTTATCTAATTTATTAAATCATTTTCAGAAAGTTACAGACATGGCTTTCTTTGCTGAAGATGTACCATTGTTGGCCAGGTTTTTAATCTTTACTGTCATGTTTCTCATTTGTTCTCTTATTGTACACTAATATTCTTTCTTTACCAGTGCAAGTATAGATGGTAGAATTTTTGTGTGGAAGATTAATGAGGAATTTGATGAGGATGGTAAGCCTCAGATAACTGGAAAAATTGTTTTAGCTATACAACTTATAGGTGCTGGAGAAGGAGAGCCTTATCATCCTCGAGTTTGTTGGCATCCTCATAAACAAGTAACTTCTCTCAAGTGTTTCTTTTCAGGACCTGCTGTCTAGCATTCCTTTTTGCGGTCTTTTCTGTGTGCCAGCTTTCATTTATATGATTTTGTCACTTTTGATTACTATTTTATAGGAAGTTTTAGTTGTTGGAGTTGGGAACTATCTGCTAAAAATTGATACAATAAAGGTTGGGAGAATTGGGCAGTTTTCTGCAGACGAACCTGTTAAATGCCCCATTGATAAGCTTATTGATGGAGTGCAGCATATTGGTAAACATGATGGAGAAATTACAGATATTTCCATGTCTCAGTGGATGACAACTCGTTTGGCTTCAGCATCAAAAGATGGAAAGGTGTGCATCTTTAAGTGCATGAGGCAGCTTATGGAAGGTTTAATTCTGTATTGTAACTCTGTTTCAAGCATTGTTTAATGATGAATCTTAGCACTTACCCTGCTTAACAATGAAAATAAACTCAACTTTTTAATGTTTTGACAAATTATGCCATATCTTTAGTTTGCTAAATTTGTTTGTCTTTTCTGTTCCTGATGATATTTCTGTTTTTATGTTTTGGGTTCTGAGATATTTCATAGTTGCTGTTCATTTTGCAAGCTGAAGTTGTTGCATGCATGCAATTGTTTGTGATGTTAACTCATAAAGATTCACTAAATAACATCTCCATGAACAATATTAACCTGTTAACTCATTAATGTTCATAAACCCTTGCATACACTCACACATAACCCTTCAAAAAAGGGTTACTTTTCTTGTGTGTTAGACATGTCACATAAATACTCCCTTTTATTCTACTCATTACTGAGCTGAAGCAGCATTTGTCAAATAATTATAATGGAAACTAGATTTCTGAAGATGTTTTATTCATCTTGAAATGCCTAGCATGCTTGATGTAGCATTTATTTATGTTAATATTGTCGCAGGACCATTCTCTATATGGTCAATTCACTTATTTTGGCTGCTTAATTTTTGGAGAACTTGACGTGCACCACTGTAGATTTGGGTGTAAATGTGCCATGATAAAGTGCTATATGCATTTGTGCCTGCCTTCCAAGGGTTTATGAACATGAACTGCACTTGCACATTTCCATCTCTATGAGAGTACGCTGACTTTATTTCGTATTAAACAAGATGTGACAACAATATTAAATACAGCCTTAAGCTTTTCCTGGAGTTATATTTAAGCTTTGCCTGGAGTTATATAGTTTATGTATGTGTAGATTTTGTTTATTATTGATTTTTATAGTTATAACCAACTTTATAATTCTCTGGCTTCATTGTAATTTAATTTCTCATGAATAGAAATGCAATATTTTGAATGGATGTTAAGCTTTTGATGTTTCAATATTATTATGAAAAAACTATAAAATGAAAGGCTTTCTTCCTTCTTCGAGCTACTTTGAATAACCCATTAACGTGAGGCTAATATTTCTTTCACCTACTGATTTCCCAAGATACTATAATGCAGTTTCTGCAAGGATGTTGTTTAGAGGGATTTTAGAGGGCACTATTCCAATGTATAGGTGTCTTTTCAGTTTTTTTATTTTATTTTTTTTTTTTTCTGATGATGTTTTGTTTAGTTATATTTTATTCTCTTTTCTTTTTGTATACTTGTGATCTCACACACACGTGCATAGAGATAATGCTAAACTTTAATGAGTTTATGGGGCAGCACATTTGGAAAAAAGATTAACTTCTAAAAAATGGTGGAAATACATCAGCATTGTGTGATCAGCACTTTGCTAGAACGTTGGTGGAAAATTTTTTACTTTTGCCCATGTACAAATAATGTTTTAAAAAGCAAAATCAGATACTGAGGCATTTTTTCTTTACGAGGCGTAAACCTAAAAACGAAAAAAAATTAAAAATTCGTAAACATAGAATTTATACATGCCGATAGACTTTAATACTTCACTTTAATAATATGCATGTAGTATTCTCAAATCCCAAATATAAAGAAAAGTTTGAACTAAGATTTGAACATTAAACTTAGAAGTTAAATATGCCACAACTATTAGGATCCATAGTGATATCATCATTATTTTTATCATCTTCAGAAGAAACATCATATGGAATAACTTTATCATCCTTGAATTATGTGTTATCATCATCTTCAAAATTTTTAATTTTCACATCTTTAATTTTACTCCCTACATCAATCAACATTGAATTCAATATAATTTTAAATAAAATAATAAATTAGTAATACAACTAAGTAGTCAATTATATTTAATTATGAAATTAACTTTAGAATTTTTTGAAGCTCTAACCCCACTTTGCTTCTTTCTTTTAAATGATTGTGAAGTAGAAATTGCTTCAAATTCAAATCTTTTTTACCCCTTTTAATGTTAGCATTAATATCTTCATTGTCATCATCATTATAAGTCATTCTTTTCATCGTCAAACTCAAATCCTTCATCATTCTTAGGTGTTATTTATTCATCATCAGACACAATATCATCAAGAGTCAAATGATCTACTCCATCTCCACCATTTCCTTGTATTTATAGTTTAAGTTGTCTATCTTTCAATTTTTTATTGAACATAACATAAACTAACTTGTTCATTCGATTTGTAGCCAATCAATTTATTCTTTCTATGCAGTTAGTTGAATATGCTCTAATGACACTCGCTTGCGAAGTTGAACAAGACTAAGATCTTTCACTGCAAATACTTTGAGTTCAAGCATGTCATCGCCAAATTGGGCCGACCAACGTTCTAGCATAAGATTAAATGAAAGCAACAATATTTATTAATATAATAATTATATATATAAATGTTAAACTCAAAGATTTAAAATTATCGATGAATGAAATTTACTTGGTGAATTTGTCTTATATCATGCTTGAGTTTTTCTAAACTCAAACATTCCATTCTTCAAATGAAAATCTTCAAGTTGATCTTTGACTTAATATATAGTGAGACTCAGAGACAGTTATATCCATGCATGCATATAAACCAATCTTAACCTTTTTATCCAAATGAAAGTCTTTATCATAATGAATTTGAAGATTTAGATAATATGCAACATGTAAATGATGATATAACCGATGACTCTATTTTTCATTGATGATTTCTAATATTTCTTTATAGTTTGCTTCTTATCCTCCTAAATCTTTTGCTTTGTTCATAGCTTCATAAATAAATTTCATAGCATGAGCACTTTCACCATCAACCATTCATAATACTTTCACTAAAGGCCTTATAGTCTTCAGAGCATAATTAGAGCATAATTAACACTACGCCAAGATGAATCATCTCTCATAATAATTATCTTCACTTGCTTTTCTTTTGATTTTTTTGCCCAAGAACTTTTCACCCATTTTTTATAAACAAAAATAGTCTCCTAAGGTTGTCATAGCTCTTTAAATCTTTACGAAGTCAAATAAATCGCTGTAAATCTTGTAACTGTTGGTCGGATAAGTTCTTTATCTGTGAATTTCCTAATGAAGCTTAATACCTAAAATGATTGTAAATAAATTTACTTATTGTTTTTGCTTTAAGCAAAATAAATTTATGTTGCGGCAATTGTCTTCACTTTTGAAGATTAAATCAATACAACGAGCAACATGAGGAGTCCAATAAAAATACTTTATTTTCTCCATTGACATGTTCCGTCTAATCTTATAGGTACTTGTATTATCTGTAATAACTTGAATAACTAAACTCTACCCAACTTCTTCAACAACCTCATCAAGCATTTTAAATTATATTGAGTTTTATTTACAAAGTTTGATATATCAACATGTTTTAAAAATACTGTTCCATAAGAGTTGCTAATAAGAAAACTTATAATGCTTTTTTGTGTAATATTTGATCGACCATCTAACATTAATGTAACTTCTGTTTCAAGTTATGTCTTCACTTCATCAATCATTTTTGCTGTTGTTCTAATCTCCTCATCCAACATTCAAGTTCGCAACTCATACATTGATGCGGGGCTCGAGAGAGGACCGACCAGTGCTCAAGGGAGGGGGGTTGCCGTCCCCTCCCTCGTCTTCCCTCTTTCCTTTTTTGCTCTCCTTTCTTTTTTCACCTTATCTTTTTCTCCTCACCTTACCCTCCTAAGCACTTTCTAAATTTAAATTTTCTTCCTAAAATTTGAAATCTGATTTTTATTCTTCTGTTTGATCTTTAAAAGTCTTTCCTACAATCTGAAATCTGCTTTTTATTGTCCTGAATTTAAATGTTTCTTAAGATAGGTTGTCTCTTTATAAATAGGAGAGGTGCTTAGAGTTAAGGCCTAGTTTTTATAAAAATTTGAATTTAGTTTTGTCTCAGTGTTTTCACTCTTGAGTGTTGTATTTGACGTCAAGGTAGTGCTTCGTGTGTCTCTTGTTCGAGGCGGTGATCATCTCCACAGGTATGGGCGGTGTTATAGTTGTAGCTCGACCCCGTCGAGATATTTATCTCTCCTTCCATCCTTCCACCAACTGTCGACCGCTTCTCCAGCTCCCACAACAGACCCCGATCGCTTCTGTGGTCTCCCCACGACCGCCGACAGCCTTTTAGCTAGCCATTGTTCGCCGGGTTTCCTCCCTACAGCTCCCTGCAGGCTGCAGCCCCCGCTGTCCCTCTCCCTCATCAACAACAGCTTTCCGACCATCTCTACCTACTGCTCATCTCCCTCCTCCAGAGGGTCGCGCCTCCTTACTGCAGCTTCTTGTAGGCTGCAGCCCCGCTGCCCCTCTCCCGTGTCAACAACAACCTTTCAACCACCTCTACCTGCTACTCATCTACCTCCTCTAGGAGGCTACACATCCTTCTTGCAACTTCACTGTAGGCCACAACCACCGTTGCCTTTCCAAGGTCCCTCCAACAGTTGTTCGACGCTACTACCATCACTGATTTGCTGCTTTTCCCTTCCACAACAGCTAGACATATCTCCGACCTTCACCACAACCGCCTACCTTGCACCACCGCACTGGCTTCCTCCTCATCAAGCTTGTTGCGTCTTCTTTTGTCGAGTCTTTATTTGTAATACTTTATTTTATGTTTTTGCTTTGTGTGTTATCATTCATTCTTTGAGTCTTCATCGTGATCCTTGTTTAAGTCATTAATAAAATTATGTCTTGTGTCATGGTTTGGGTGAACTCTAGTATCATTTGGTATCAAAGCTAGCCCAATCCTAGTCCCATCCTTGGGTTCCTAGCATCCGCCCCTACTCAATTTACAACACTAACTTTTATTTTCTTTCTTTCGTTTATGTTTCTTCTCTTATTTCTTTTTTTTTCTTTTCTTCCACAGATCCCAAACTGTGAAACATGCCACCAAGGAGAAATATGCTTAAGTATACCTGGGAAGAGATACGGTGAGAACTCTGTCGCCTCCGACAAAGA